GATCTGCTCAGGTCCTTTCCGACCCTACCAACTATGAAGCTATGAAACATGCACAAAATTATTTTCCTCGACTTTGTTTTTCTTAAAATGGCCAAACCACTTTACCTAAAGTTTCTTCCAAAAATAATTTAGCCTTAGACAAACACCTAACATGGACAATTTTTGCCCAATTTCAGCTGTTGAGAATGAAGTATAAGCAACTGAAAACAGAGTGTTATCAGGGAAAATGTGTCTTACCTATTGCTACTTCTACTTGTGCTGTTTATAACAAAGTGTATTTGTATGCTGGGTGAAACAAAGATCTTTTTGCACTACGAGTATTATCTTTATCACATGTGCACTCAACTACATATTTAATATAAAAATGTAAATATTTTTTAAAACTAAATTTTAAAACAAATATTGCCAGCCAGGAGAAGAGTGGAAAGCTCTGTATGGAGTGCTTTCTAACATACTTGTCCTGCATGGCTAAATCAGCAAAGCTACACATTAAATACATCATTTAATCCACAATGTTAATGAAACTAAAATTCTAGGAAAAAAAAAACTTTTTGTTCAATAACTATTGGGATTCTGAATACCATTTAATATTCTCATTCTCAGAAAGCCAACTGATTTCCATTTCATTTCAAATACTTTACTTACCCCTTATTATTCCCTTTGCTCTTGTATTATTCAACTACTCCTGGATTTTTATAACAATGCACCTCATTGTCCTACCTAAGCAACTTATATTACTAAAGGAGATCCATCATCTCCTTCGGTAGTCACTTATCCAGTTCTCTGAATAACTGAAGCTGACTGGCTAAACGTATGATTTGCAGAGATTATTCTGGACAAAAAACCTCCCCAATGTTCTTCCTTTTATATATATTCTTAATAAAAGCATTAAATTACAGGATCACCTATGCAACTTTCCTTAAGAGGCTGTTATAATTATAAAAGGACTTTTGAGCCAAAAACTTAGTTTTTATGGCTGTAAGAAAATTGGAATACTGGAATGATCTAGACATTGAAAGCCCTTTTCCTTAAAAGTCAACAAAGCTTGGGAAACCAATGTTCCCAGGTATTCCTATTTTGATAATTAAAGAGGCTGGGCACCTTTTCCACCTCCCGCCCCCTGCACAAATACAGGAATGCTGATCCTCAGTCATCCCTGTCCAATGCTTTTCCAGCCTGCTCTTGCAGACCTCCAAAGGAGAGTCCATACCTTTTCTAGGGAAACTATTCCACTGCCTTACCACTGTAACTATGTCCCCTGTTAATTATCTTTTTGCCAAGCTAAACACACCTAGCTCTCTCAACTTTTTCTCATACACTTCAACCTCATATCATTTTTGTGCTCTGCCTCTGGACCCTCTGTCACTCTCTGTAATGTGTGGAGCTCATAAGCAAGGCCAAATCAGTAGGGGTGTGTGAAGCGGGCTCTATTAGATTTGGATTTGGCCCGAATCGCAGACAATGATTTGATTAGCTGATTCAGAGCACTGTCCCCGATTCGATTCGGCCAAATCAGAATCTGAGGATTCAATGCTGATTAGGAGAATCAGCGATTCAGACACAGACAAAGCTTTAAATGTTTTCTCTACATACCTTGAGGTACCAGCGCGGCTCGTGAATTGTGAGATGCTGGGGAGGATGGAGCATCCCACAGGAGTGTGCCCCCCCCCGCGTACTCGGTGGTGAACCCGGAAGTGGAGTGGAAGTAGTTCTGGTCCACTTCTGGATCCGACAGGGAGCACACTGCCCGCCCCCACGCTCCCCTGGCTTGGCCCCAGGGGGACCCCAGATGCCCCCCCCAAGACCCAGGAGGCACCAGTTGCCAAGCCAATGGCGTGTGTGGGGCAGGGGCGCCCTGCATGCTCCCCGGCAGACCCAGAAGTGGACCGGAAGTGCTTCTGGTCCACTTACGGGTCTGCTGTGGAGTGTGCTGGGGACCCCCCTGCACTCCTGTGGGACGTCCCATGTGTCCCAGCATCACAGCATTCATGAACTGCCTGCTACCTAGAGGTATGTAGAAAAAACATTTAAAGCTGTGTCTATGCCCAAATTGCCAAATCTTTCTGAATCTCTCCAAATAGATTTGGATGGCTCCAATTGTATTTGGAGAGATTAAAGGGTCCCCTGATTTGATTCGGATTTGGAAATTTGGCCACCAAATTGAGCCAAATCTCTGCCGAATCAAACCAGGGACTGAAGCTTCGCATGGCCCTACTAACCAGTACCACACAGAGTGGCACTATCACTTCCAGCATCTTGCATCTAATTGTCCTGTTGATACAGTCAAACTTGCATTTTCTTTTGGTGATCCCATCCTTGCCAAGTGTCACCAACTTGAAATGAAAACAGTAAGCATGTTAAACCCTCAAGTACCCTTCTGCCAACACGGGCTATCCTTTGCCACCTGGCTGTTGGGCGACAAGTCTCTGTGCTGCCAGAGTGGCAGCTGCCTGCACTTACTCTCACCACTGATCCCCACCTTCTCTGCAGCAAGGGTAGCACAGATACAGCAGAGCAGCAGCAAAGTGAGGGAAGGGAGGGTGGCAAAGTGCAGCTCCATGCCACTGATCCACCACACTAGATTAAACTTTTGCATCCCAAATTGGAATTCTTTACAGGCTGGATCTGGCCCACGGGCCACAGACTGCAGACCCCCAGATTAGAAGATCACACCACCAGAAATGGCTTTTCTTGTTCTGCTTTAGAAGCCAATGACTAGGAAGAACATGATAAATCCATTGGTAGAGGATGTTAACTAAATTTAGCTCTACTATTTTCTGGATGCATCATCTCTGCACATAAATAATTCATATGGTAATTTTAGAGGATTTAGAATCCCAAAAGTCACTGAATAAAAATTTTTTTTTCTATAATTTTAGTTTCATACACACTGTGGATAAATGATGCATTTAATACGTAGCTTTGCTGATATAGCCATGCAGGACAAGTATGTTAGAAAGCACTCCATACAGAGCTTTCCACTCTTCTCTTGGCTGGCAATATTTGTTTTAAAATGTACTTTTAATAAATATTTACATTTTATATTAAATATCTAGTTGAGTGCACATGTGATAAAGATAAAACTCATAGTACAAAAAGATCTTTGTTTCACCTAACATACAAATACACTTTGTGTCTTACCTATTGCTGCTTCTACTTGTGCTGCTTATAACATTTTCCCTGATAAACACTCTGTTTTCAGTTGCTTATACTTCATTCTGAATAGCTGAAATTGGGCAGAAATTAACATATAAATAAACAGTAAATAGTGACCTTATGGTCACTTTAATTAGTTGTAGGCTAGGGATGCTGCTTTGTAATTATTTTCCTTTAAAATCTAGTTTCTTTATGTGAGAATGTTTTAAAAAACCCCTCTGAAACACGTTTCACTATTTATTCTGCACACTTATTTTTGGCTCTGCCTGCACATTGCACAGCCTTATACACCACTGCAATTAAAACTTGCACGGCAATTGCACTGTCTTTTGAATGAGAGCTCTCACATCAAATACACCTCTGTTTTCAGGGTACATTAAAGATATAGTCCAACTTTTCATAAAAGAGGGGTCTATTCCAGTCAAGGCAAGATTTCCACTGTCTCCGGCTGGCATAAATTGTCGATGGGAATATTTTCTAGGGAAAAATGTAGCTTAACAAAAATCTAAACCTTTCCTAAAAAGGCATGAATTTTAACAAAGTCGCTTAATGAAGGCAGGAACAACTCATATTGATGGTGTTGTTTCACAGTTGTTGGGGGCCGGAAGTGATCACTGCATCCAGCCCCCCTCCACTTGGACAGAGATCAGACGACCCCAGCAAGATGGGTGTCAAGATGCTTTTTGAAGATCACCGAGGCGGATGAACGTACCACCTCTGTTGATTCAGTTTGTTTCAGCTTTATGTTATATAATCTGATTTATACTATAAAACCTTTACTTGACCTGTAGGAGTGATCATCCTCAACTATGAGGGCTTGCCACCAATATAATCTTAAAATGTCTATTTATAAAAAGTCAAAAATACATTAATGTAGACAACACCATCAAAATCAGACACTTCTGGAGTTTCAAATGGAAACTGCAGCTTTTTTTTCTGGATGCGCAAGAAATTTTGGTCTTGCTTCCCAATTGGCTCTACTGGCATCATATGCTGGAGGTGTCAGATGTATATTCTGGCACCATACTCCAGGGATCTCAGCACACACCTATTCTAGACCTGTCAGATGTCTATTCTGTGAAGCACTTTTTCTTTTCATGGTGCCCGATATCCAACCGTTTGAACATCATTATAGATGTAAATATGAATACTATAAATACCCTGTTAAAAATGGAAGCTGGGCTTGACGAAGAACCCACCCAGACTACTCTGCTGGGCCACAATTAACACAGCCGTCAAGCAGCAAGCGTGGTTGACTTCATGATGGGAACGAAATCAAGCCTGTTCCAACTGCTGGGGCACCTCCGGGTCCCTATTCACCAGTAGTGAGGCATTGCAGCAGACTCAATTAATCACGTGGTAATGACTGCGCTCTAGCCAGCCACTGCTTCTCATGCACTTGACCTACGGTTTGTTCGACGAGCGTTAGATAAAGCGCCTCTGCTGCCATTCTAAAGCGCAGGGGACACCGATACATTTGACTCTCCGGGCACTTTAATTTGCACAGCTCTTGGGTGGCTCATAGACATGCTCGGGGAAGCAGGGGGTGCTTCAATTAGAGCTGCTCTAATTAAAACACCTGCAGCGTCACATGCAGGGAAATGGAGACAGGGGTTGCTTTATTGAACGAGCTCTAGTTAAAGTGCCCTGGTGCCATACACACGCGACGCTGGGGCCTGCATGGTGCCATCGAGCCTGCCCCGACGCGTCTTTGCAACCTTTATAAACAGACACCTGGCTTCAACCTGCCAACGTCCGTTTCGACTTTAGGACGCTCGATGCAACGCCAGCTTCCTCGGACGCTTCCTTTAAGGAATCTGACAAAACCCTGCAGCCGAGACTCTGGGGAGGACCCTTCAAAACGTCTGAAGTCACCTCCAAGACGTCCTCCCAAATCACTACTATTGCTATTTACCATACCGATACATTAGCGTTGCTATAGAATTCATCTGTACTGGGCTGAGTACAAAATCCTGGGTTATTTTTGGTGAAAATAGGGTCTCGGGGCTGGGTTCAGGGACCAATCGCGCGCGCACTATAACGGCGTTTGGACTTCGGCCTTGGCGGCTGCGAGGAACCCGCTGTGCCGCGAGGGATGGGGAGCAGGGCGGAACAGCGAGCGAGGTGACCCGGCGCAGGGGAGCACTCACCATGCCGCCGCGGCCCGGGCCCGCCACAT